AGGTTCCTCTTTGTAGTGACTCATTATGAATCCAGATTATCGAATCGTTCCGTTACTTTGTGTTACTAAAAACAATGTTTCCCTAATAACAGGAGAGGATGGCAATGGAAAAATAACGGCAGAAGCCATGATAACTTCCATGAACATCGCCTTACTAGTAGCCCTGTTCCTGTTAAATTCCGATCACATTCAGAAAGCCATTGAGATATGCAACGAATGTTTAATTTTACCAAATAACAGCGATCAAAACAGCAAAGATCAATTTGATTCAGTGCTACTACAATTTGACAGCGACATCTATACAGTTCTTTACAGCGCATATCGTCATATCTCTGACGACGTAAATGCGGCAAGATACGGCAGGAAACTGCATGTCTTCTCCAGCAAGTATGGAATTCTGTTTTATAAACTTGGCGAAAACCTAAAAGCGAAGGAATATATTGCAAGGGCCCTTATCAAATCGACCGAAATTGGCGACAAAAGCGGAGAAGCATCCTATTACGTAAACCTTGGTGCCGTGTTTAAGTCGCTCGGAGAATACGACAAGGCTAAAGAGTATCTCCACAAAGCGCTTGTCATCACAACTGAAATTGGCGACAGAAATGGAGAAGGAACATGTTATGGAAACCTAGGTAATGTGTTTCTGTCGCTCGGAGAATACGGCAAGGCTAAAGAGTATCTCCACAAAGCGCTTGCCATCACAACTGAAATTGGCGACAGAAATGGAGAAGGAACATGTTATGGAAACCTAAGTACTGTGTATCAGTCGCTCGGAGAATACGACAGGGCTAAAGAATATCTCCACAAAGCGCTTGTCATCACAACTGAAATTGGCGACAGAAATGGAGAAGGAGCATGTTATGCAAACCTAAAACACCTACTGTGTTTCAGTCGCTCGGAGAATCCGACAAGGCTAAAGAGTATATCCACAAAGCGCTTGTCATCACAACTGAAATTGGCGACAGAAAAGGAGAAGGAGCGTGTTGTGCAAACCTAAGTGCTGTGTTTAAGTCGCTCGGAGAATACGACAAGGCTAAAGAGTATCTCCACAAAGCGCTTGTCATCACAACTGAAATTGGCGACAGAAATGGAGAAGGAGCATGTTATGCAACCCTTAGTACTGTGTTTCAGTCGCTCGGAGAATACGACAAGGCTAAAGAGTATCTCCACAAAGCGCTTGTCATCACAACTGAAATTGGCGACAGAAAAGGAGAAGGAGAATGTTATGCAAACCTAAGTACTGTGTTTCAGTCGCTCGGAGAATACGACAAGGCTAAAGAGTATCTCCAAAAAGCTCCTGTCATCGGAATTGATATTGGTGATAAGAAAGGGGAAGCATCACATCTTGCAAACCATGGACATCTCTCTGCAATTGTTGGAAATTATGAAGTTTCGGAAGTATGCTTGGAGAAAGCTTTATCCATATCCAGAGATATTGGAGATAGAAGACAAGAGTTCCGAATCCTTCAATATTACGCCCTTTTGTATTCATTTCAAAATAAAATCAGAGACTCCCTTGTATGTCTTCATTTGTGCATTAAAAAGTACGAGGAGCTAAGATATTTCTTGGGGGCCAATGATGAGTTCAAAACATCACTTCTGGAGCACTCGGGAATATTTCCCTACAAGCAACTTAGTACTCTGCTTTGTGATACCGGAAATGCTCTTGAAGCTCTTTATGTTGAGGAGTTGGGTCGAGCGAGAGGTCTATCAGACTTGATGACAGAGAAGTACTCGCTTGAAACGCAGATTTCTGCTGATCCACAATCTTGGTTTGGCATTGAAAACAGTTTTAGAAAGAAAAATAACTGTGCTTGTTTGTACATTTCTTATTTTCACAATGTTCTGCATTTGTGGATCTTGAAAACAGGTGGGGTCCTTCACTATAAAAGATTACTAGAAGAGAATCTAATTCGGGCTGGGTTGCCCAAAGATTTGCCTCTGAGTGAGTTTTTGGCTGATAGTTTCCGGAGTCTCGGTATTTTTCCCACTGAAGATTGTGAAGATCGGTCTTTAAATATGGTTGAATTGGAACCTCTCTCCCCAAACAAAAGAGCCTAGCAAGAATGCGACTCGTGGAGGAGGACGAGGACAAGGAGGTCATTTCAAGTCTATCTTTGTGTTACAAAATGTTTATTGCCCCTGTTTATGATTTTCTTGAGGAGCCTGAAATCCTTATTGTTCCTGACCGCAGTTTGTACAAAGTTCCCTTTGCTGCCCTGAGTGAAAAGGAGGGAGCCGAATACCTGTCGGAGACTCATAGGATCCGTGTCATTCCTTCTTTGACAACACTCAAGATCATTCAAGATAGTCCAGAGAACTATCACAGCAACACTGGTGCCTTGATAATAGGCAATCCCAAGGTTGATTGGCTGCCACCGTTGCCAGGTGCAAGAAAGGAAGCGGAGATGGTCGGACGACTGGTGGGTGTTCCGCCTCTAGTGGGAGAGAAAGCAACGAGGCAGGCGGTGCTTGAGCGGATAAGTTCAGTGAGCCTGATACATTTTGCTACCCATGGTGACGCCGAAAGGGGAGAAATTGCACTCTCCCCCGTTCCTACTTCCAACAGTGGAAACGCTACCCAACCAAAGGAAGATTACATGTTGACGATGGCTGATGTCTCACGAGTGAAAGTCAGAGCCAAACTGGTGGTACTTAGCTGCTGTCACAGTGGAAGCGGAGAGATAAGAGCCGAGGGAGTTATAGGAATTGCCCGTACGTTTTTAGGATCCGGTGCTCGCTCGGTGCTGGTTGCGCTGTGGGCCATTTCAGACAAAGCAACAGAGAAGCTGATGGGTCGGTTCTACGAACACCTTGTTGAAGGAGAAAGTGCCAGTGAATTCCTTCATCAGGCCATGAAGTGGATGAGGAAAAATGGCTTAAGCGAAGTGTCTGAGTGGGCTTCGTTTACGCTGATTGGAGATGATGTGAGGCTCGAGTTTGACAAGCAGAGGTAAGACTTGATGAGAACAGGTATTTCATAAATTAAAGTTAAATTAAATGTGAAGGTGGCTATGACTTACTGTTCACTGACTGTCGGCAGTTATCCTTTGTCACCTTGAATATCAAGGCTAGTTTTATATCTTTTTTTTTGTTTCTTTCAAAGAGTAACAATTTATTCTCCCAGTTAGGTGTAAAATATAGAATTTCGAAAGCGCCCCTCTGCCAATCAGATACAAGTGTACATTTGCCTACATACTGCGCCTGGTATAACCGTATTTGCTTTATTTAAGAAATGTTGATTATGTTATTTATAATTGTTTTTTACGTTTGTTACAGGAAAAAAGATGAGAATATCTCGAAGTAAACAGACCTTAGAGACTTTTAGCTGGATAAACAAATAGAATAAGTATAGAAAATACTCTATCCGTTATTTCATTATGTAATTACAGAAAGGGAAAATCTCAAATTAAGCATATTGATTTTAATTTTTTGCTTTCCTTTTCCGATCTTCTCAGAAGGAGGTATTGGTTACGTATCCGTGAATATTTTTTTCTGCACGAAAATTATCTTATCCGGCCGATATAATTAGCACGAAACATTATTGACTTAGGGCTCTTAAGTGAAGTGAAATCAGGAAAGTTAAAACAGTAGTTTAAGCATAAAAAACGAGCCAGTTAAGTCTTACAGGGTTTTCCCTCAAAGCCTTTTATTATAGGTTTCGTCAACAGAATCCTTAATTTTTTTATGTAAAATCTTTCCGGAAAGTTTTTCTTTTGGTGAGTTCCAGTACTACTTTTGAGTGCTTAAAAGACTGGAAAAAATACATGGATTTCCAAACAGAACCATGGAAAAAGCTATCAAGGTCAAGAACTTAATCAGTATCAAGTGGAAAAATGACGGCAGCAATATTTTGAAACTGGTTGAACAAGTCACTTAATTACGTATTATAATGTTTGAGATAATGTATGTTTGCACAGTGATTTAATTGTTTTCAAGTCAGGTTATTGTCAAAGTGTTGTTTATGGAATCAAAATATTCTTGTTATTTACCACAATTTATACACTTTTTTGGGCAAAGTTTCTTAGAGGATTATGCAGTAATTCCAAAGACGCTAAAATAAAAGATGGCTTAAGAAAAATTTCAGACAATATCGTGAACGTTTGTTTTAACCAGGTTACAGAGTAAAACAGATAGCACTGTTGTTCATTGTTAAGGCGGCAAGGTGGTGGGATAAATGATGCAAGTGATAGGAGTGTCTGCTGCGGTCTACTGACGCGGATAGGAATGATTAATGCTTGCTTCCGCAGAAAACATCAACAAACGCTATGATCGCAAGAAAGTTGTTTTGTCTCTCAATGCTTTTCAGCGCATTTCTTTGATCGTTCCTCATCAACCCATGTTCCTTGATACTTGTCTTATAATCAAAAAAATTCTGGCGATAAAGTTCTGGTGATTAGTATGCTAACGTCGAATATTAGTTCCAGTATTAAATAGTAATCCAAGCCGCAACAGTAATAGCGTCAAAGATCATAACAAATTATGGGAGCCAAACGAGTTTTTCGTCCCTTCATTTGACGAAAATTACGTTAACTTCAACATAAAAACTTGAGGCATAAATAAGTGATCACATGCACGAAAAAAAGTTTGACCATGTCACGTGTTCTTGATAGGGTGTCCTTCTCATTTCCTTCTTTAACAATTTCTAAGAGCGTTTAAAATCACGCTAATTATTTTAAACGTCAACACCTGAAATATTTGAAAGGAAGCGCCAGTGCCTGAAAGCACCAGAGATTTTGGTGAAATAACTTAAAACGTTGGCGAAACGACCTAAGACGTTTTTATAGCAACAGCTGGTCGTTAAAGAAACGACCCCCAAGCAAAACGTTCGCAATTCCCCGATATAGATCAGACTTAACCGCTGATAGCCATTCACTCGGGGAAAGCGGAAGGAACCACTACTACTAAAAAATCTGCGTCCAATGAAGTCGATATTTCCGATCCAGTCACTACCGGTCGACGTTACAGCCGGCCAGGTTACATTTCTAGCCTAAACAATAATGGCGGCTGCTAGCGAGTTTCCAACAGAACTGGCGACCCGTCCTTTGGGCCTCACAGCTCTTATGGGACTCGATATTAATCAGAAACCTTTGCACAAAGCTATCTGGGAGTCTTTTTCTGTGAACAGGCATCCTGAGAGAGTTCCACTATCCTTCAGACTTCTACCAATTGATCACGAATTTCCCAAAGCAAAATCAAAGGTGAGCTTTCCTATCGCTTTTAAGTGTAGTTACTCTTAAATCCTTTGATTACGTGAAATTCTTCTTATTTTAAGCTCTTTCAGTATAGTGGGAGCTCACTCAATGGGCTCTCTCGTAGTAGGTAAGTCAACGTGGCCCACCTTCACTAAGAATTAAACCCTTTTGAGCTCTTGGACTAAACCTAACCCTTTAAACCCGAACGTTAGTATGAATATTCTCCATACTTTTCCTAATACTTTCCTAAGGTAACAATCAAGAACTGTAGTTGGTGATCATTTCCGTTATTCTCATGACCTTAGCTTAATGTTTGATGTTATATGACAAGGAGAAATTAGATGCTAAAGGGTTAAATGGACACTATTTTCGTACAGCAAGGGTGTCTGCATAGGAAGTTGCCACTGTTTCATTTTTCTTACATAATTTTATGAAGAAAGTTCCAGGAGTGATTTCCACAAAATCATTAAAAGAGTTAATCACAATTCAATCATACTCCTGGGTTTTTTTCCCAAGGAAGCATTCTCTTGCTTCCTTGAGTTCTGACTTTCTCAAACCTTTCACTCCAAAGATTTCCTTAGTAATTGTCTGTACTGTCTGGTGTACAATTCTTAGGATGTTAGTTCAGAGAATCTGGAATTGGATCAACTAATGATCCTGTAATTTATTCTTTTTTCTTTTTTCTCATCGCTTGTCTGCTTGATATTGCATTGAAATTTTAGAAGTAAGTTCTGTCTCCGTCACTCATGGGATTTGAAGTGTTTACCCTTTAACTCCTAAGATCTGATTGTTAATTTTCCCCTCCAGCTGCCACAAATTTCCTTGTAAATTAGTTATGAGAACTTGATGCTAGGTCAAGATGAAAGCTTCTACCTGATAAATTTGAATATTCTCATTACCTGTTTGCTGAATAATGTTTGGATATCATATGGAAAAGTTTCATGTTAATCACTTCTGGGAGTTAAAGGTTTAAGTGAACCTTTATCTTTGTTGGTGTGCATGGAGTCTCAGTAATATTTTCCATAAGTGAGGGCAGATACTGCCATTAGTGGGGTCACTACCATTGAAAATCTTAGCAGATAGCCATAGCAATGTAAGACCTCTCACAGAAGCAGTAGGCCTCCTGTAACCAGTGTTACTGAAATCTCTGCTTATGCAAGTTTATGCTGGCTTTTTATCACTGAGTCTTGTTTCCTTGTAGCGTTCTACCTATGAGTGGTACATACCAAAGGGTATCTTGAAGACAAAATGGATGCACAAACATCTTTATCTCTCTCCTGCTGTGGTGGTCATGTTTTATGAGCTGGATTGGGATGACGTTCAGTGGAAAGACAGGCAAACTGAATGTGCTTCAAAGCTAGAAAGAGTCAGGTAATATCAAGAGAGTGAGAATGTTATCTTACTCCTCTATAACAGTGAACTTTAATCAGCACTAATGACATAACTGAAAATTTTTAAGTAATATGACAAGTGTGGTTTGATTTTTAGACAAGAGGGTTGCATTGTACGTGTTGAGTTTTATGACATTTTGCAACTTAAAAACATAATTCCACGCTCTCTGATGGATATGAACACAGAATTATAATTATATCAAAGTAACATATAAATTATTGTTTAATTAACAGAAGAAAAAGACTTTTGTCCAATTATCAGCTTAGTGATTTAGAGTGCAATTCAAATAACAAACATCAAATAAGTTTGTCATAACAACAGTATGTGCTCCTGAAAACCTCCCTCTCTGCCGAGTGACAATCAGATACAAGTTGTAATAAGAACAATACAAATTTTGGAGTTATTATTTTCAAACTTATCAGCTCATTGAATGAAAAAAAAGAAATACCCAATGAACAATGAATAATTATTTTTGTATTCTATAACTTCAATCCTGCTCATTAAACTATTCAAAGCAATCTTTTAATTTCTGTACAGGACCAGCCTTCAAGACCAGAACACGAAGGTTGCTGTGGTTCTTATCCAAAAGAATGCTCCTCTTCCTCCAGGTAAACATCAATAGAAACATAGACGTCAAAAGATGATGTCATTAAGTAGAGAGTTTTTAATCCATGTTTGGTGTTTTCACTACTAACATCAAACCACAAGCGACTGCCAGGTCTATCTTAAAAATCTGCCAGAGGCATTATGGCAAGAGTTGCGTGTCATTTATTGAGTTAGGCATGGGCTAAAAAATGGGGAAAAACTATGCCCAAAGTATTGAGTATGGCCCAAGACCGGTGTCTGTAATCAAGGTCAAGGGCACAGTTTCTTCCCACATAGAAAAACATGATTGTAAGACTGTATTTTAACAAGCTGGACCAGTGACTAGGGTACAATTAGCCAATCAAAGTCAAGAATTTAAGATTCCAGCCTGTTGACATGCTTCAGAAAAAAAATATTCCTGTATCCAAAGATTCGAGTACCCTTCATGGAGGAAATTCATGCTATTATAATGAATCACAGGTGATGATTTACAAGCACTAGAGAGGGCAGCAACACTGTGCAGTGCATGTGACCTGTCAGCCAAATCATTGTTTGTCCTACCACATACAGATCACTTGATTGGCTACACAATTAGGTATTTGTTCAAAATTTATCATTTTAGATTGATTTTGATGAGATTGGTTTTCATTGAGTTTGCAATTGAATGTAAAAAGCCCAACTTTTGTCAAATATGGGAAAAAATTTATTTGGTAAGAGTTTCATATTTTTTTCTATTGTATTTATTCTAGCTGATCAAGGAAAGTTACAAAACAGGGCACAATAAAGACTAAGTTAGAATTATTTGGAAAAAGTGACAGTGAAGTAGAAAGAAATTGAAAAGCTTTTACATGAGTAAGCCTTTAACTCTCAAGATTTCATTAGTAATTCTCTTTACTGTCTGCCATACGATTCATGTGATGTTTGTGTGGAGAATTTGGAATTGGATCAACCAATAATCCTCCACTGGATATTTTTTCTTTATTCTCATTACTTGTCTGCTTGATATTGTACTGATGTGTAAGGAGAAATTTTGTCTTGGTCACTAGTGGGACTTAAAGGGTTAAACTAACTTTAGACTCACTACAAGTTGTTTAGTTACTTACATTGGATGAGAATGTTTTAAAAATAAGGGAATATCTATCAGAAAATCAGATGTTATCAGCATTTATCAAGACTTTCCCAAGAGAGTTAACAGCCTTTTCATCTGATTAACCCTTTAACTCCCAGATCAAATTTGTAATTCTCCTTACTGTCAACCATACAATTCTTATAATATTAGTTTGGAGAATTTTTTATCAGATCAACTAATTATCCCCAAATTGATGTTTTTCTTTATTCTCATCTCTAATCTAGTTGATATTGTATTGATATTGTAAGGAGAAATTCTGTCTTGGTCACTCATGGGAGTTAAACGGTTGAATGATCATATTACAAGTTATCGTAGTCATTCATGGGACATGAAATTCATGCAGCTTCAAAATAAAAAAGGAACAGGTTTGAAACTTATGAGATAAATATTTTTCTTCTTCTTTTTTTTTAAGGCTGGAGAATGCTTTTTATGATTTAGCACAGAGTTATTACCATGGAGAATGTAGGAGAGTTAAAGCCCACAAGGTGAGGTTGCAATTCTGGAAATTTAAGGGAGTAGGGAGAAGGTCAGGTTATTAAAATCCCAGCCAGGAGCAAGCAAGAAGCCTGTATTTGCTTCATGCTGCAGAAACTAGGGAGATGCAGTGGCAAATGTAATAAACTGTGTCCACTGTTGAATGGTCCTTGTCTAAAATTTATTTTCAACTGTCACTGTCTACATCGTCTTGTACATAGATGATACGTAGATGGATGACATAGATTGAAGATGAGGCCACAGTCTCTGAGTGTCTTGAATTGAATTTTCAACTAGTCAGTAAAAGGGGAAAAGATAGCCCTCTGGTTAGCTTTTTGGACTCTTTTGGTTTAACTGCCTTAGTTCGACATAAATTCATGCTAAAGCCATTGGGTTTTTAGTAGTAGGACTCCCCTGTACTAAGTAAATTTCTCTTCTCAGATCAAGGACAGAAAAGTATCAGTAACTAAAACTGTCTGTTGGAAAATGTGCCAAAATTCTGGGTCATATACAATCCTGTATAACTTGCCTGGTAGCGCAATGTAATGTTTTTATAGATTACCTTTTCACTAGCCAGAATTACCATCAAAATAATTTTGTTGTACAAAAAGTAAAATTTTATCAATGTACGGAATGAAGAGACACTTATTATGTTTTCATGCTCTTTATGATCATTAGGAATTTCTTAACAAAGGAACTCATCAGGTGAGAACTTTAATTTGCAAAAGTGATCTTTGTATGTCAATAATTTGATGTGATGGATTCTACTCAAACTACAGAACTACATTTAGTTAAAGGCTGAGGGAAAGAGTTACCAAGAATTCTAAGCAGAAAAAGCTTGTTGATGTCAGCTTTGAAGGGTGTTACTTTGAAATGTTTCTCATTCGTTGTCTTTTTTTTCCTACCCTCTTATAGATATATTAATTTTATATTCTACCAAAGACATCACTGACCACATTTTGCTTTGCAAATGGCCTCAACAGTTCATAAATCTCTTATTTTGCTTCTCTACTGTTGTTGTAGCTATTGTTGGTGCGACACCAATTCAAGGTTGCCTTTTTCAATGAGCTAAGACAAGACCCTCACTCTGCTATCAAGTAAGTTCGTCAGTATTTATTTTTTTATCGATCTTACAATGACAACAATTAGTTGGCCAAAAGGTAGATCTCAGTGTTTCCCTTTTTTTCGGTTAAGGGGTCAGGAAGGAAAAGGAACTTTCAGGGCTGTATTAGCCAACTTTCTGTTAAGAGACTTTTTTGAGAAAAGAAAATATAAAGAGGAAAAGTAGAAATGAAAATTTTGAAAAGGACACCTTGTGAGAATATTAAACAATATACTTTCAGCTGACAGCAATGCTTGTCTCTGAAATGATCAGCAATTAGTGTAGGATTTTCACAAGGTATCTCAAGGTTTAGAACTAGGACAGTGGAGGAGAAGGAGCAAATTTTTTTTTTATGAAAGAAAATGACAGAGAGTTAAAAGTTGTTCTGCCTTGCCACATGACAGCCAAAGACAGTTTACAAAATTGGCAACTCCTGCCACAGATTTCTTCCCCAATATTTTCAGTCTTCCTGCCTTGAGATCTCTCAACATAAACTCCCAAGTTAGTTACATTTGCATATTAACATACCAGACATCAGCTGATTGATGTAAGACTTTTTTAATTTTTAACCCCAGGCACTACAGGCAAGCATACAGTCTTCTTGGAGAAATCAAGACAACTGACATGAACATACTAGAGATCAAAGTTGTTGCTGGATTTATTAATTACAAGGTTTGTGTTTTTTCATATTTTAGAACTCTAATCAATATATATTTGGTGTATACCATTGTAATAATAGTTACATAAAAGTAATGATGTGAAGAAGACATTGTACATCTTGGATGAGTTAAAGACATGATCTCTTATCACGTAATTTTACATTTTTGGGATTATGTACTCCTTTTGTCAAATATGCAAGGTAAATTTTTCACCAGATACCTTAATTGTGCCGTTAAATCAAAAGATCTCCATCTGTAATTCTAAGTCTGAGGTGTACAGTCAAGTCGCTCTTAAGTGGGCACTTTAGGGAGGTGGCCATTTAATAAGTTTATTTTAGAAAAATATAATCAGAAAGTTACGAGTGAACTATGGTACAGTACTTATTTGGTATTTATTAATTCTTGAAATCAGTTTACCCACTTAACCATCCAATTTCATTTCAGAATGAAACTACATTATAGAATGTGTCACTTACAATGTTGATGAAATATTCCTTATTTCTCTCTGATTTTATAACAAACCTGTCAGTGACTGCTTATGAGAAACAGTACCAAAAATGTGTCCAACATTTTTTAATATGGTCACTTACAGGAGTGTTTTGGAAACAGTGACAAACAGAAACAAAATGGTTATTGGCAGAGTGGTCACAAAAAAACCAAATATCTTTGAAAACATTTGATGCTAAATTTAGATTCAGTGGAATTTAAATGTCCTATGGGACCAATATATCTGGTGATTTATATCCCTCCTACAACATATATTACAGACTTTTGAGTTATCCTGACAACCAAACAGTATTAATCAATTTTTATTAATTGTCTCACAGATTTGTCGTCTAAGTTTCCAAGCATCAGCCCCATTAGATGCCATATCACAATTCAGAAAGCATGTGGATTTGTTTAAGGAAAAGGTTGGCTGCCCTGACTTAGCCTTTGAACACTCAGCCTGGCTCTCCAAACAGTGAGTATTTTTTCTGTTTAGCCTCCTCACTCTTAACTGGAAGGTCTGCATTCAGTTTGTTTTTTGGGCACTTACATATGTACAGCTAAAGTACCTCCCTCCACCCCAGAGTTGAAATAAGTATCGCCAATTATGAAGGGAATTTGACAAAAATGCTGGGGGGGGGGGGGTAAGGGGGTAATCTAAAAGACCTATATGTAGCATCAAATCTAGAGAGAGAACTTTTAGTCTCTTTATGCTACAGAAACCATGGTAAGCTTTGATGTGGTGAGTCCTCTTTGGTTTGTGTTCTAGAAGGTTTTTGCTTTCAAAGAAACCCAAGCTGTGACCAGGATCTAACAACTCTTGTTTCTTAACAATATTAGATCAAGAACAGGTCAAGTTGAAGTGAAATTTTTGACTGAACTTTTCAACATAATGGAACTGAAATGATGAAAACAGGAGACTTTTAAATAATTGTTAGTCAGTTCAATGATGAATAATTGTCAAAGTTAATACAACATGCTGTATGGTAGGGAATTATAGAGGCTTAATCAATAACAAACTATGTGAAAAATTAACACAGGTTCAGTTTATTTGGAGAACTGTTTGATGAAGCCATCAGAAATGGTTTAACCGCCTTACAGGTAACAATGTAGAAGATCTGTGTTGGCATATTGGTTTAATGAATGAAATATTTATTTATTAAATCTACAAACAACAATACATCTGTAAGAAGAGAAAGAAATTCTTACTAATTATGTTACTAAGTATTCTGAATTGGTATTTAGAATAAAGAAAAAATTGTCTCCCATTATGCTATATCTCTTATGATAATTGTATGCAATATAATGGAGTGTTTTTCTGTTTTAAAGGTACTTTTTTGTCATCTCTTAACAATCATGATGATCTTTTCTCCCCTAATTAAATTTTGGCTATAAACAGAGAGAGGCACCTTAATAAATAGGATTGATGTAAATGTGCCCAAACAAATCTGGTCTAGTGACTGATTAGAGTGTCCAAATCAGTCATACTCTCAGATTCTGGTAAAGACTTAACTGTTACTTTATTACAGACTCAACACCCAGGATTTTACTATCAACAAGCAGCAAACAATGCCATTGTCAGGAGACAGCTTTGCCAGGGCTTGTGTCATGTAAGTAAAATTATTATCATGCCAGAGGATTGCTGAGAAAGATCTGAAGGAACAGTGACAGACACAAACTCAAAGGAGCAATATTTTTCTTAATGAAAGTGACCATTTTTTTATCATTAGTTGAAACTTACCAATAAAAATTTGAAGACTAGAACTGTCGGCCTTAGTTAATTTTGAAGTACAAATTATTTCCAAAGAACTTTTCCTGGAGGGCCTTACCCAGATAAATTGGGCTACATACTTGTGCACATGGGTGGACATAGCTACAATGGAGGTCAAAGCTTGTTCGGACAGTTATCAAAAAAAGATATCCTAAATCCAAACATATTACAAAAGGCCATCTTTTGCCAATTCAGCTGTGTACATAGAACCCCCTCTAACAATGTTGGTAAGTTTAGGCACTACATCCTGGTAACGTTTACAAAGCACACAAAATTTGAAATTGTTTGGGGGGGGGCAGGGAGGTTTTGATATAAGTAATATTGCCTTAGACTTTAAACCACCCTTGTAGTGTGGGATAATGTTGAATGTAAACTAGTGGCAAGAAAGGGTCATAGATTCCCTTCAAAGTACACCTAACCAAAAACTAATTAACTACCACTCAAAAGGGTCATTTGTTTTCTGCATGTAATTAACTTTTATTGTTCATTGAGTCTGATGAGTTACTTTTTAGTTAATACATTGGAATCTGTTATTAATTCATCTCTAGACTACCACTCCACTTACTATGAATCCCTTAGAAAATGCTGGAAATCTCGACTTCTATGGTCAGAGACCTTGGAGACAAGGTTTTCAAGGTAACTGCAAATATATAATTTTTTTTTCCTCTGGCAGTGTTTTTTTAGAGTAAGTACAAAAGGTGTTGAGACACTCAGTAAGTTTCCTTTGCTAAACCATGTACTGGTTGAAAAGCTCAGTGTTAGAATTTTGTTCCATTTGATAAGAGAAAACTTTTTGTGTATTAAAAACACTCTGTCGGAATGAAACTTGATCTGTTGAGATGCAATACTTTCCTTTAATTTGTAGAACTGCTGGGTTCATTTGACTTAATATATTTGTAGGAACAGAACCACCAGATGCAGGAATAGAGAAGGCTGGAATTATAGCCTTGCAGTCCCAAGAAATCCAAGTGGACCATTCTGTAAGTGCACTGTATTGTTTGGCAGACTTTCATTTCAAGAAAATTAAGATCAGATAAATGTCAGGGAGAAGTCATGGTGACAAATTAAGTTTAAATGCAAGGTTAATATGACTGTAAATTTTTGGTTGCGCACAATTGCATCAATGAGCTTTCTAGCCAAACCAAAGCAATTATGAATTTGAAATCCCAATTGCCAGTATTACATAATACCTTGTTAGCAAATACTCTTACCATCAATCTCTTTATTTATGCTAACCTACTTTGTATATTTGGTTGAGGTACTTAGAATATTGGCTCCTTTTTTTTCTCTCACAGTGGGTTATCATTCCCCTTCTCAGTAGTATATTTGGTTGAGGTACATAGAATATTGGCTCCTTTTTTTTTTTCTCCCAGTGGGTTATCATTCCCCTTCTCAGTAGTGCAGTGGCTCAGTTTAAAAAGTACAAATCACCCAGGATGAAGAGATACCAGAGTAAGTTCTCTCTTTTTTCACTTTAACCCTTTAAACCCTAAGAGTGACCAGCATCAAATTTCTCCCTAAAATATCAGCCCTGAATCACATGTTAAGGTCATGAGAATAAAGGAAATGATCACCAACCAAAGAGGCTTTTGATTGGTGAACAAAATCTCCTTGTCAGCACCTTAGGAAATGTATAAAGAACAGTATGGAGAATATATAGACTGATTTTAGAGTGTAAAGGGTTAAGAACTTAGCAAGATGCAACTAAAAGCTTTTGTTTCTTCATGACAATGTACATGTAGTGCTTTTAAAAGTTTTTTTTTATTAAATTTACGAAGCAGAGTGATATAGTGTACATAGTCGAGGTCTATTGGCTTTTCTTATCTAATTATCAATATGACAATAATATGCAATAAGAATACTTGATAAAACATAGGGATACAACTGTACGTTGAATAGTAGTTACAATGATGATTAATATTGCATATGGATAACTGGGCAAGCTAATCATTTTCTACTGTATGCTCTGAAGTTCTTTCATGTTCACGTTAACAACAAGTCTTTTTTGTTAATTCTGCAGTGGTTCAGATGGGTGAGGAGTATTACCATGCTAGAGATTACAGTAAAGCCTTATTGTGAGTGTAGCATAAGAGAATGTTTCAGTTTAGAATCAGTGGTGATCAAGTATTGTACCACAGGCAGGCCAGGCCGTTTGAAGCGTCTTCCTACGAAATTACTTTCGGCCGGAGGCCGTTGCGTGAAAGTAATTTCGTGAAAAGACGCTGACATACCACAAAATGAGTTGATTAATATTCCATTTAACTTTATTGAGGAATTCAGACCAAAATGTCATTTAGATATGCATTTTTCAGGGATTTATTCATAACCCTCGTAGATTTCTTCTTTAAGGTTGTTGGGAAAAGTCACCTGGGATTACCGCAGAGAAAAATGGTGGTCACTTCTTACGTCAGTTTTAATCACATCACTGAGGTACTGTTGTTTTGTAGTAAGTGAGACAAGATTTGTACTCTCCAGCTCTTGTTTCTGAGAACTCAACATGTAAACATTTTCAGTTGAAATAATCTGAATTTACTTGGTTTTGCATTACCTTGCTTTGTGATTGGTCTTGAAAACACGCGCTACCCTCTCAACCAATCAGGTGTAAAATTGAAACCAATGGCGCCTTGGTAACGCGCGTTTTCCCGCGCTTCAGGCAGCTTACTTGTTTCCTCTTTAAGTTATCCCTTGTGATATTTACCTTCGCTGTGATTGGCTGTTGGGTTTACCTTGGTTGTGGTTGACAACACATTATTGAAAAGCACTCAAGCGTGAGCATCAGGGATAGTATGTCGAGGTTGGTGGAAGTTTGGCTCATTTACGACACGGACACAGCCAACTCGGACAGACGGAATAATTCCACGTCTGTTCAGTTGGACTGCTACAAAGCCAAAAATCAAAGTTTGTCTTCTTGTTTAACGTCAAATTATTGCCAAGAGGTTGTTTATGAATAGCAATTTTGGTGTAAAACGTTCAAAACAGTTTTTCTCAACTTCAAGTTTTAGATTTATTTATTCGTATATCCTTAGTCTTCTTAACTTTTATTGCAGGTGTGCGTACTTGGTTGGCAATGTGGAGGAATATATCACCCTTTCGCTTGAATTTACAGGAAGATGTATCCTTGAAAATGCTGCCTATCATTTGAATAACTGACTGTAGTATTTTTTTCTGGGTGAAGTGATTCTTTCAGTTAGAGTTATTTTCAATGCAAAGTGATGTGGGATTGCATTGGTGTAACTTAGCTTCGTTATGTTATTGGTCAAGAAAACTCGCGCCATTTTCTCAACCAATCAGATGCAAAACTAAAACCAACCACGACTTGGTCTTCCGCGTTTTCCCGCGCTTCAGGCAGGGTGCCTGTTTTTGCTTTGAGTTCCTATTGGTTCTTCATGCTAGTCACTCTTATGGGTTAAAGGGTTAAATTGGTTTCCAAGTCAGGTGGAGAGGCTGAAAAGCGCCTTCAAAACGCAAGGTATTCTTGGGCAACCAACTAGTAAGGTTGCAAAATTTGGGAACTTTAGGATAATATTGACATTTGTAGTTGTATTAAGCTGTGCAGATTTTGCCCGAGTCAAATTTACTGCGGTGTAATACGTTGAGAAAACATCTTACCTAACATTTGTTATTGTATTAGTGGTAAAGTCCTTGATTCAAGAAAACATCAGATGTTGAAAATTCACCTGAAGAGAAAACAAGATGTCAAACTAATCTTATTCACGTCATGTCGGTAAGGACTTACTGCCAATGGTCGTTTAAAGAGGATTTATGGAGGAACTTTTATTGTAGAATGAGTTTACGCTGATTTTTTCTGTTTTTGTCATCTACGACCCTGACACTGGTTATTTAGAAATAGAAAGCACGCGCGCGGCTGAACGCGAGTTAAACACGCGGAAAAGAGAGTTTCTTTGCCCGCATGGCTGGTCTTTCGCGCGTGGATAACTCGCTTTTCGTCGAGCGCTTACTACAGGACAAGCATGTTACGAAAGACAACTGAATTTTTATCACTGTATCGTTTCTTATTTTTCATTGGAATTACAAACAGAATGAATGTCCTGAGCCCGAGCCAGGCTGTGACTTTGAAGCAGTGGAAGAAGCTAAGGAGCTATGGAAAACACTTAAAGTGACAGCACAGGCACCCCAAGTATTTACCATACAGATGGAACAAATAGCACCATTTGGTAAGAAAATGTCAACTCTATTGTGTATTTTTTCTCTTTGCGTTGATATAATTTCACAGTTCACAGAGGCGGAAACTGAATTTAGCTGTAGAAACTCCTAAATTCAATTTTCAAATACAGCAACTAAAATCTTGTAGGATAGAAAAAAATTCTTCTTTAATACCCTTTGAAACCAAGGCTTGATAAGGTGACTGGTAAAATTTTTAAATTCAAAATATTAATGAATGAATGAATTTTTTTTCCATTTGTCTTAAGGAGCGTGTGATATTTTAATATTTCCTGTTGTTTTCAATTTTGTTCTTTCTTCAGTGGAATGCAAGGCAGTCTTTGATTCAGTCTCAACAACAGCAGATTCTACCATCCTTCTTCTTACAAGGTTTGTAATGTCTTCTTAGAGTCGCTTACTCCAAAACAGCTTTCACCCTTAGCTTTCAAGATCTAATTAATTCTCTAAACCAATGATAGATTTTTCTTTTGATGGTGAGTCACGAGAATTTCGTTGTATACGTGACAAACAGATTCCATGATGCCGTGTGTCTGTCCACTAAGAGATCACAGACGACGTCAAAATGTTGGAAATAACAAAAAAGTGACACATTGTGACATCTGCATTGAAATTATTTAGCTCTGTTATGCATGGTAACGATTCGGTGATTCTTTGTGAGCGTTATGAAGCACGTGATCTGACCCCAAACCTCTCTGGTTCTCACTCTGCTGCTACTGTCGCGCTTTATCGCGTTTTACCCACTAAACGCTTGGAAAAGCCTAACTTCGTGCCTGCTCTACAGAAAAGCTTTTCTTACGTGTAGGACTAGACAGTTAATCATGCAAGGAGGATGTGGTGTTATATTTGACAAACAGATTCCATGATACCGTACGTCTGTTCCATAATAGATCACAGACGACCTCAAAATGTTGGAAAGAACCAAAAAGTGATGCATTCTGATGTCATCTGTGATTTATTATTAAACAGACGCACCGTAACATGTCGTCGCTTTCCTGAATATGCCTTGATGGATCATTTTCAGTTCTTGATTCTCGTAAACTTTTTGTTTTACATATTATTAAAGTATGGAGAATTTAAGTTCTGATTACTCGTGGGAAGAATATGGTTAAGAGGAAGCTTTTAAGAGACCACAACCTTGGTTCAAAACTGTTAGCACTGAAGTTATTTAGCTCTGTTATGCATGGTGACGATTCGGTGATTCTTCGAGAGCGCTTTTTGATTGAGTGTTGTAAAGCAACCTAAAATAACCACAACGGTCACTCAGGACAAAAGAAAATATCACGAGAAGTTTATGAAAACTCAGCGTACAAACAAACTGCCATTAAGCGCGGGAAAAGGCGGGAGATTGGTCGAGAGAGTGGCTCGACTTTTCAAGACCGATCTTTGACCGTAACGAAGAAAAACTGATGTAGTCTCGGATTACCATTGACAATCAATTACAAGTTGTTCTAAGTAAAGGTCTAAACACTCGTTATTGTTGTGTGTTGTTATATTTCAGGGTTTCTTGCCCATTTCCCCACCGATTCTCGAAGATTGCCGTTTTCTTTAGCAATCAGGTAAGTTAAAATATTCCTATATACGTAAGGCTAGTGTTACTTTGTTTCGCCAGAATATGAAAGCACAGTTTAGTCTCGCGCTTACAATAGCAAGGTAACTACCACAGCTAACCGGAACGAAGGTCGACCATAAAATGCACCAAGGAGAACTAAAATCAAACAACTGTGTACAACAGTAAGTGTAGGAAAACGCGGATAATAAAAGCACGATTGGTTTGGTTTTGCATATGGCGTTGAGCTGATGTCTTATTGTCTATGATCTTGAAGGCGTCAAAAGTGAAATGTAATCATTTGTGGTCACTTTGGATGTGGATCGCAATGTTTCGACTGCATACTGCCAGTCTTCTTCGGGCGATGAGGTCGATCGAGAACACGTCACTAATATGCTCTTGTGCTCAGCTGTGATTGGAATTTCACGGCTGTGATTGAATGCTTGGAACATGCTAATTTCGTGTCTGCTTGCCTGTAATCATGCCATGACACTCTGGATGCTAGTTTGGTTGCATTTTCTACTGGCCTGACTCAATTTTCTTTATCTTTTATCTTAGTTTTATAACCAACAGTGTGTGGTGGAGACTGGGTCCGCTCAAGGGGAGGGTGGATTGTATCTTCTTCCAGCAAAGACCAAAGTCATACCGTTTCAACTAGTGCCCCAGCCTGAGGATGTTGGAAAACTACTTCAGGTAAAAAATTACTGAAATACTTCGCCATACGAGTCTTTGCACTTATCAATAATTTATTCGTATGAAATGATAATTGTCGCAGTCAGCTGACGAGACTAGCAGCCTAAAGAGGAAAAGCTAATGGTCTTTTACTAGAAACTATCTTTAGAGTATTGCTGCCAGTCCAAAGTAAGATTGCCCCCCCTCCCCCCGCTTCCCGCACTTTATCATTCCTAGGCGTAGAGTAAAGAATTTTTGCCCAAGAACATTACTCAGTGATCCCAACCCAGGGCTCAAAGCCAGATCTCTCGGTAGTGTCACCGGCAAAGTTTGACAGAAAACTTTTTTCCGGAGGAGACTGCTTTAAAAGAGACTTCAGATTTAAGCTTTCTTCGTTGTGGTTCCTAGGTCGCCTCCTTGAGGTTCGATTCCTCATGGGGAATTTTTTTTCTTTGTCCTACAATTGTGACTAGACGAAAAACACCTTTCTCTTTTTCTTTACCGATCTTAAAAATAACCATCTTTTTACTCTATTTACAAGGTTTTTTTTGCAGTACAAAGTAACCAACTGTCGAAATAACCGTACAATATCGAGGGTAATTTGTACTCGTTGCGCGCGTTATTTCTTTTTGATATTCCATGTAGTGCTGTTGGATTAAAAAAACTGCCTTTACTTCGTTTGTTTGGTGTGCAGGAAAATAAGGCTTTAACACCAATGAACCATCGTAGTTCACGTCTTGCATATTGTCAATGTGTCCCTTTCGTCTTTTCTTTCTAGATCGAGAGGTCGTACTTCGTCAAATGCTCTTAAGTAGGATCGCGGACTGTAAGAGCAAAGGTATAATACTTAAGTAAGCTATAATTGTACCTTTAATCACAATTCTTTGGGCGTCTATTTAGAGACCTCAAGTCAAATTGTCGTGCAATAGGTAGCCTGCAGAAGAGGCGTTTTTAAGGCGAACGAGGATTAGAGAAAGGGGAGGAGTGCCTTATTTTTCCCCGCCTTTCCCTCGTACGTCACTTCCGCTTGCCTCCGTTCGCCCTATTGTGCATGTTCTGCGGGCTATGCGATTCCGTTCAGTACGTAGTTAATAGATCTCTATTCTTTGAAAAGATTCCTATCAATGCTTAATCCTAGTCATTTGCTTATTTTTTTATTTATTTTTTTTTATGCAGATTATCTATACTGTAGATGTCCAAGTAGAACCAAATTCTTCGCCAGTCACCTGTACCTGTGCCAAGGTGAGATCACTCTTTTGTGTCTTAAAGGTAAAAGTAAAACTACCTCTCAGTATTTCCACATTTAATTTTAATTCTCGTTCGCTTTGTAATGTAGTTGCACTTGTGAATGTGAGTTGCACTTGTAACATGGAGCGCTTTTCGGATGACTGTCATAAAACCAAAACCAAAGCAATCACAACGGCTAATCAGAAGAAAGGAAAATAACTGAAAGAGCCAATGAGAACTCAAAAGAAAAACAACAATACCCAAAGGGCGGGAAAACGTGGCTTTAGTATTGCATCTGATTGGTTTAGAAAGTGGCGCGAGTTTTCTGGACCAATGATAGAACGCAAGTAATCTCAGATTTCTTTCGACACGCAATTAAAAAATCCTTTACCTGGTGAATACAAAATCACGACGACTTTTTGCTTTCTTCTTTCTCTACTGTCCTGATGTATACCCGCCCTAGGAGGAAAGTGTTGTTATCAAGACTGTTATGCCATTTGAAATCTCTTTGTCTCTGACAGGTAAGGGAAAATAGGCAATATTTTTTACGATGTAATTTAACGTCTCTTGGAATCGATCAAACTTGCGTTTTTGGCTATGTTAGCAAACTTGCTCTCGCTCTTGTCTCAAATTTTTTTTATTACATTGAAAGTTATGGCATAAATTAATGCATCTATAAATCCGTCAAAAATTTTTGATCGCTGCATAACTCTACGAATATAAACCTGGTCTGGTGCATCAAGAAACACTTTCTGACTAACACGCATCTGAATGAGGGTGCTGTGGTTTGAATTGATGATTAGCGCTAAGTTGTCTTTTACCACGCGATGAAAATTCAATTGTAAGGTTCCTATACAAAGTAACACAGTGTCTAGGCTAGTAAATGGGGACCTCAGGCAGTCAGGAAGGCAACGCCGCAGTAAACGATGGTTTAAAAATGAATTTATAATTTCGCGAATGGCTAAATGCGTTTACTGCTTCTTGTAGCGCCACACGTCAACCGCAGCTTAACGTATGGCAGCAGCGTTGAGTTCCAAACGGGCGCTTAGATAGTTTGCCATCGGGTTTTCCGTTCACAGACCACACAAATTTGGTTGATTTCAAGTTGTTGTTTTGCAAAAAACGGGTAAGAAATGTACAAAGTTTTGAAATGCACGTGCCGATCAATTGTTCTGAAAATTAGATATTTTGTTTTGTTATGCCCTCGTCGTCGTCGTGGTTTGCTTTTGGGGGTGTAAACCAAAGCAATATAATGAGTTCAAATCATTGATTTGCGTTTATTCTCAGTTGGAGAGACTGGATCAGCTGTTCGAAGAAGAACCATTCCTCTTATTAGCTGGCATCAAATGCACCTCACCTTGGCCTGTTACCATGGTCACCACTACATTGAATATGGTGAGTTTACAAACAATTTATGTTCGTAAAAACTTGATTTGTCTTCCTTTAGAAAATATAGTCGTGAAGATAAGTTAATGGAGCAGGAGAGCAAGTGCTGCAAGATATTGGGTGGGGTGGGGTGGGGTGGGTCGGAGCGAAATCTCCGATTAAGTGGAAGAGTGAATCTGTGGGTTCACTTAGTATCCCCTCCCCCGAGTCAAGCTGGAAATGTATATATACTACAGCTTTCGTGCGTGTGCCGGAACCGCGCGAAAATAATATGTCATGAATTATTTTTCAACCTTCGGATAAGATGACATGTCTCGAAGTGATCTTCTCAAACTTACTGCAATTTAACTCTTTGAAGAAAAAGTAGCCTGAGAAATTCAGGTTTTATCGAGGATTGACAAGGAACCTATATCTTCTTGAGAATAGTCGGTTCCTACTTTCAACTGTGCTTCGAATTAGAAGCAGAAATTCTGGAGAACTGTTTGTTTGTTTGTTTGATTTAAGTCTCCAGAAGTGAATATTGTGGGCGAAGAGATGGGATCGCCGCTGCAAGGAAGTAAGGAATACATGTCTGTGTATTACGAGAATAACCGATCGGAATTAGTTAAAGATGCGTCTACTTGCATTGCTGTCCCCAAAAAAAACTGTGAGATTCTCGTCGTTAGAGTGGATTAGGCTTCTTTATAACTAATCGCCGAACATTTGGGGAAACTAGAAAAGGTTGAGCGTTTTTTTGGACCAATTGAAGGAGGGGGGAATCAGCAGGGGAAGACAAGAGAATTTTCCTGAGGAGCTTCAAGGCTTTCAAGGCCCTCTCCTCATACTAGACAAGGTTGAGCGATTTTGTAGATTAATGGAGAGAGGGGGGGGGGGAGAAATGTGCATGGGAATACGAGGAGAATTTTGTTGAGGTGTTTTCAAGGCCCCTCCTAATTAAATACACACCAGACAAGGTTGAGCGATTTTGTAGTCCAATGGAGAGAGGGGGAGATCTGCATGGGAATACGAGGAGATGTTGAGGCGTTTTCAAGGCCCCTCTTAATTAAAGACATACCAGACAAAGTTGAGCGATTTTGTAGAGCAATGGAGAGAGAGGGGGGAATCTGCATGGGAATACGAGGAGAATTTTGTTGAGGCGTTTTCAAGGCCCCTCTTAATTAAAGACATACCAGACAAGGTTGAGCGATTTTGTAGATCAATGGAGAGAGGGGGTAAGAATTTGCATGGGAATACGAGGTGTATTTTGTTGAGGAGTTTTCAAGGCCCCTTTTCATATGAACATACAGCTTTGCGTTATGTGTCCTTATATGCAAATTGCGGGTGCAAGATTTCTTGTGAAAAACTGACAATTATTCCCGACTTGCTGGCTGTTTTCTTTTTCTCCTTCTAACTTCATGTATGGTGGTCCCAGTCTCTTTGCAACAGGGTGAAAGTGCGTCGGAATGCTACTGCTTGGCTGTTAAAGAGGGTGTCAGTAAACTGAAGGTCGTGAACATTGGAAGTCTTGCCCTCCAGTGGAGACGGTAAGTTCGTGGTTAACTCGAGGGAGTCTAAGATAAGTGAGATAGTTGAAGCAATTTTCAATTGAGTACCGATTGTAATACCGAACTGCATTCAAAATTTGGTCTTGCCTTCCTTTGCTTTGTGATTGGAGTAGGAAAGTTGCAAAACTCTCTCTCTCTCTGTCAACCAATCATGAAATGCAAAATTTAAACCAGTGGCGACTTGGCCATCCGCGTTTTCCCGCGCTTCAGGCAGTTTGCTTGATTTTTCTTCGTGCTCTCATTGGTTCTGATGAACCAATTTTATTACTTTGGATTTGTAGTTTTTGCCAACACTCAGTGGACCCACTGATGCCTTTTCAACTGAACCTTATTTAGGGGAATATATAGAAGTCCTTTCGTTTCTTGATTTAATCATTTTACATTGTTTTAATTCTTTAGAACTTCTGCGACTGATAAGTTTCCAGTTGTGGTCACAGAGCTCACTTTCCCCTCTGTAACAGTAGAGAGTGTTCCTTTTGCGATACAGGCAGGTACGTTTCCAGCAAGGTTAATCATGCGGCAATATGCCAAGCGTCAAAATCAAACTATACTGGAAAAGGTTTATTCGTGCTTCTCCACCTTTGTGCAGGCAAAGTCGTCCAGATGTGAGTTTATGTTTCAACTACAAGTTCAGTAGTGTTCTTAGCAAATGCAGTGCAAATGTATGAATTTCATATATCTAAAATCATTATTCATCACTTGGATGGTTAATTTGGACCCAACATATTGACCAGCTCCCAGTTGGCTTGTTAACTCAGTTGGTAGAGCGCTGCACTGGTATTGCAGAGGTCATGGGTTCAAATCCCGTACGGGCCTGAAATTTTTTTCAGGTCCTATTTTCAACTACTATTTCAGTAGTGTTGTTAGCTGCGAGGATCTCTTAAATTCGTCCAAATGTGTTACAACTATCAGTCTTACAGTCAATTTGGTGAAATTCCGGGCCAATTGGCATAAACACGATAAAGTCGATAAGGTTGTGCGAAAGCACTCTTACTGCGCGTTTTACAGGGTTTCAAATTGTTCAAGAGATGAGGAAACCTCACACGTACTAGGAAAAGCCACTTAAAAAAAAACGTGGTTAAACTCAGTGTTAATAAATGTATAGAGGGGGTACGTTTTTAAACATAATTTGGTGCTACGTCAGTGGGGGTATTGAACAATAGTCATGTTTTATTAACAAAGTTAATAAAAGAAATTGGTCCCTGTAAAGAGTTTCTCAAGCGGACCTCTCGAGCGTCAGCCCTACGTCGATACTTCAGCTGTAGAAATCCTTTACGGTGGCCAATTTACATTATCACTTCAGTTGATAAAACCAAATTATCTTTGGATATATGTATTTGTTAATGAATAGAAGAGGAAAGACGGTAAATTTAAAGCTCCGTAATAAAGTAAAGAAAAGATATTTTTCTTCGTCATACAAGCGTGGGACAAGGAAAAAGTAAAGCTTGCCATTCGAGAGCGGAAGTCGAAATTTTGGGGCTCTAATCCTCATGGAGGCACGACCTCGTTACAAGAACAAAAAAAAAATTATATATTGTACCGTTTTTTTCAGATTTGCCTGCATACGGCTGTGTACAGAGCCCACTTTTCGTAAGCTATCTCGTCCGCAATAGAACGCTTCAAGGTCCAACCAATGTTTTTATAAAGGTAAGAAACTTTTTTTGTGTCCAAAACGTGAAAAAATGCAAATATGTTGCAACGCGTTGGCAGAACATCGGATAACGGTCAATTTGGTTGGTTTTATTTATTAACACAATCATCAGAAGATGTTTCTACGCTCTAATTCGGTTCACTAAATTAGTTCTAAATTATTCAAGTGTTTGACTACCGTAAAGTTTACGATCCAAATCGCCATACTGGCTTCTCGCTGAAAGGCTGTATCCTTTAACCCTTTCACTCCCAAGATATTTTTATTAACTCTCCTTACTGTCTGTCTTACGATTCTTTAGATGTTAGTTCGGAGAATTTGTTGATAGATCAACTGATAATCCCCTAGTTGATTTTTTTTTATTCTCATAACTTGTCTGCTTTATATTGTTTTGATATTGTGAGGAGAAATTCTGTCTTAAGTCACTTATGAGGACTTCCTGACTTGAAAGTGGATGTGAATTCTCAGGCCCGGTGGCCGTATTTGCAACACCTTTACGGCCCTGAAACGGAAAAACAAAACAACAAAATAAACAGCTGCAGTAACCTTGTTGGAAGGGATGGCTGTGTAATGTGTTATTACACAGCGTGGACCGACTGTCTGAACAAATTACACATACCAAAAATTTATTAGTTATCATTTTTAAAAGTTAGCACGTAGGATATCCTTGCGAAAACAGGTCTAGAAGTTTTTAGTACAACTAGCGACTGGAATACCAGTGATTAGTCATAAAATGGATTAGTCACAAGTTTTAAAAAGTTAGCATGTAGGATATCTATGCAAAATCAGGTATAGAAGTGTTTACCATAATCAGAAACTGGAAATCCATTGGAAAACTCATTTATAACGTGTCTGTTATCACACAGCCTCGAGGCCGGGAATTGGAATCTGAGAAGAAGCCTGGTTACGAGTACTAAAGATAGCTAATGGAACAGTGGAGACTGGAGGCAAACTTTCCAGTTATAGTCACAATAGGATTTTAAGCAGCAAAGTGATGCAGCGGAGATTTGAACAGCTGTAAACTGCCAGCCACATGAAGGAAATTCTTTAGTGGGGGCTTTTGTCCACTGGCTGGTGAATTGCAGGATGTTTAAGGCCAAACAACTCTGTGGTTAACAGATACGCTTACGTGTTTTTGCGCGCATGTCGTATCGATATCACGTAGAATCAGTTGCACTACTTCCTTTGGGTGGATTAAGAAATTAAGAGTAGTGCTACTACATAGAACGACGACTTGCCCGGAGATATTTGCTCCGTTTGTGAGTTTCTCTCTCTTGTTGACTTGGAGTGACATGTTTCCAGTTTTGTTCATATTTAACCCTTGAAATTTCGTATAGAACGCTTTTCGACAAAGTGTCGTAAAACTGAAATCAAAGTAATCCCTACAGCCAATCAAAAGAAAGAAAATACTTTGAAGAGCCAAAGAGAAATCAAAGTGAACACAACCAAACTGTCTAAAGCGCGGGAAAACACGGGCGACCAAGTTGTGGTTGATTTTAGTTTTGCATCTGATTGGTTGAAAGAGAGTGGCCCGAGTTTTCTGGCTCAATGACAGAGCAGAGCAAAACCAATGTAATCTTAGATTGAAAATTGCCCTATGAGTTCAAGATTTCTTTTTCGCGTGACGTGGTCGTTGACTTGGGCCAAGCCTGAATCAATTATCACACAGAGAAATCAAAAGCGAATGATTAAACTGTTTAGTTGAACTTCTAAGTTGAACTCGTTCAAAACTTAACAACGAAACAGGCTCATGATTTTTTAGACACCTGGACAGTATGAGGTTACGTAGTTGCGTAGCGAATCAGATTGCAGCATTTGTGAATTTCTACTTATATATGATTTATGTGCCACTCTTGCTAAGAGCGGTCTTCTTGACTTCCCGTCGGAAAAAGTTTTCTTTTATTTTTATCCATGAAAAGGGTTTAGGACACATGTTTCAAAAATAGTTTAGTTCTCCAATTCTCTTTTTTTTTTTGCTTCGCCACAAGCCAAAAATCATTTTTGGCCAGACCACCCCTGCGAACAGTGATCGAAAGTGTCAATTTCAAAGATTTTGTCTAGCGCGCAGCAGCGACTGCAACAATGTAGCTCACGGAATTCTATCTTGCTACATGTTACAAGGTGTATTCATTTAGTTCACAGACAAAATATGGAAACTTCAGCTGAAATATTTTTCATACCAGCGTGATCAGAGGAGACCCTGCTCTTCGACCTTGATTTGCATATCAAAATTCACTACTTTGTACCAAAGAATTCTCAAAATGCAGGCGTTAATCGGGCCGAAAAAGCATATCAGTGCATAGTTTATACACCAATGAGGTCACGGATTGCCTCAAATCCGCGGGTATATCTCTAGCTTCCATCCACCAACTTCTTAAAAACAACGCAAATCCATGTGTTTGCTCAATTGCACTCGTTTCAAAGATCATTTGCGTGATTCTTGGAATTGACCAAGATCTCCTTTTGACATTTCAAACTTCGTTCGTTTATCTTCTACGTTGAGGATTTTAGGTTTTCACTGCAACTGAATGGAGATTAGATGCCGAGTTGTCCTAAAACGTTGCGTAAACGTTATCGGTCGTAACGCTTGCGCGCTTGCGTGACTTACAAAGTAGACAAAGGTGATAGGAAGGCCTCCTCGATAATTTACGTTGAAATATCAGGTCATGAATTATGCAGTGTGGAGAAGATCAAAATTAAAGAATAAAATTTGGCACTCTGGTCATAACAGATATATCGCGTTGCTTGAAAGGACACAAAAACAAGTTAAAATAGGTTGCAGTGTTTATATTTACAAAACAACACGCATACACTCTGAAATAATTCTTGCAGATTCTTCCGAGATTTAGTATACGGAACCCGATGAACTAACCCTCCTGTCCGCAGATTTGTTTCCATCACTAATGACGTTACGCTCTTATGGACCACAACGGTTTTGAGCGACAAACTCGACATTTCCCTGCGACCATCAAAATCAACTGGACAAACCCAGTTTGATATATTGCGTGACGTGATTGTGCAAATTTTTCCCCTTGCCATATGGCCTGTTTCGCGGGTTCTACAAATTGAAACCAAAATTAGTTAGTGTAACAAATTAGAATCAAAAGTTATTAAAATGGACTGAATTACATTTTAATGAGAATTTCAACTTTTAAAAAGGTTTACTTGATTCATGGAAAGCAAAGATTGGAGTGGCTTTGGATATTTAAGCCCTGATTTCTCTACTGGGACGACGTATCGAGTTATTTGAAGTATTACCAGCTATCCAGCGAAATCCTCGATTACAAGTTAATTTTGTTTCATTCCGGTCAGTTTGACCACGATATGGAAAAAGATATAACAGTTATTGGTATGTTCTAAACATCTGAACACTTTAAGAAACATTAGAAATGCGGTGGCGGTACTTGTTAACAGCCACAGCATAAGGGAAAAAATGTGAGGCAGTAAAAGAAAGCCAGACTGACTGGATTGAAGTTTCGGAATTTAAGTTGTACTCGTATAACATGAGAAATATATTTGCAATTTCTCGAGAGTGAAGGCTATTATCTAACTAAAAATTGGTTCGTAAGTGCCTATCTGGGCTATCTGCAATAGCAGACAAAACCAGAATTCTCTTGACAAAATCAAAGGACAAATTGTGTCATGACGAATTTTTGTCTCGATTTTTGTTTGTCTATTCTTAGAGTCAGTGAAAAGAGTTCTTTCGTTTTTTTTCGTAAACGGCGACTAAAAAATTCAGCCGAGTCGTTGGACGCAGTGTTCCTTTGCCCTTCTGCACTTTCCAGTAGCCTACCCAAAGACGTAAAAAATCCTTCGATGTTGGGCAGCCAAATTCGTACACCTTGCATAGTGCTTCTCAAACTTCACTGATCGTCTGCCTCTATTTACCGCCATTTTGAAAGTGTTAGTTTCCGGGGCTTCTTGTTTAATCTGACTTCTGACTTTCTTTGAATTTGACACTTTCGATCGCTGTTCACAGGGTTGGTCTGGCCAAAAATGATTTCTGGCTTGTGGCGAAGCAAAAAAAGAGAATTGGAGAACAACTAAACTATTTTTGAAACATGTGTCCTAAACCCTTTTCATGGGCAAAAAATAAAAGAAAACTTTTTTCCGACGGGAAGTCGAGAGGACCGCTCTTAGCGGGAGCGGCACTTAAGCAGTTCAGCCCTTTGGCTGTAATATGATATTTCAATAAACTATCTATCTATCTATCCATTTGATAATTTCTTGTGTAGTATGTACTGATCATACCCATACTAAGAGTTGATACTTATAAAGTAAACTAAACAAGAAAAGCATATAGAACACAATGGAGGTACTTGAATAAAGTCATACCTGCACTTAGACCTGTATCTTTCTGAGATTTATCTCTTCACCACTTATGCCTGCTCTTTATTCAGGTGAGTCAAGCTGAGCTTATTGTGCAAAGTTTGTGCAGTTGCTTGTCCAATCTGATGTTCTGATGTTCATAAAGGACATCATAAGTGTAAAAAGTATACTTTATTAATAACTGATGAGGTTCTTTTAATTTCTAAATTTTTTTTTACTTATAAAGATTCTTGATAATTTCCATTTGATAATTTCTTGTGTAGTATGTACTGATCATACCCATACTAAGAGTTGATACTTATAAAGTAAACTAAACAAGAAAAGCATATAGAACACAATGGAGGTACATGAATAAAGTCATACCTGCACTTAGACCTGTATCTTTCTGAGATTTATCTCTTCACCACTTATGCCTGCTCTTTATTCTGGTGAGTCAAAGTTTGTGCAGTTGCTTGTCCAATCTGATGTTCTGATGTTCATAAAGGACATCATAAGTGTAAAAAGTATACTTTATTAATAACTGATGAGGTTCTTTTAATTTCTAAATTTTTTTTCACTTATAAAGATTCTTGCTCTATAAGGGCCTGCTGATAGTATGGCTGCAACAATTAAAGGACACATAACACGGTTCATAAACGAGGAGAACAATGTTACCAACGCGAAGGAAATGGGAAACACGATTCTATCCCATGGGGTCTACCTGGGATTCGTGTAGTGATGTTAGACAGTCTTGGGGAACCCGAAACTGTTCTCCCAACTCGACAGAAGATTAGTGGCATCAGTAAATAGAACAACTTCAGATTTTATCCCGGTGGAATGAGGGTGTGGCAGGCATTTAATATAGGCCCCAGCAAATGCATTTCTTTGGAAGGAACAAATGGTGAACCTTACGTTATATTCTCTATGCAGTTTCTAGCTATAATGTAGCATGATCTTTAGTTTTGAGACTGAAAAATTCAGCAAGGGAAAGCTGGAAATCAAGATCACTTGAAAACATCAAACCTGGCGCCAGTTTTTGTTCTAAAAATTTATTTCAAGTTTTTTTTTATTTAGAACGCTATACTGGAAAAAGGAACTTCTACTTCATTTAGGTAACAGTCCACAAGCTGCACCTAACGCTATTTTCGCAATGTGAAACCAACGAAATCTCGCTCTGGATAATGTTTAGGTGTGTTTGGTTTTATCTTTCATGTTATTATTTTCCACAAAACGCCATTACCAAAATATTTCGGTTACTTTACCCTTGGAGAATTTAAAGAGATCGCCCTAAAGAGAAAACTTAAAGAGCCTACTAAAACTTCCACAACGGATCACGCAGAAGAAGAGGACTATGGCCGTGAAGCGAAAGACCATGATCAAGTGTTTCAATGTCCAAAAGAGGGCCGCACGCGTAGTTTCCAACGGCACTCTTCTCTAGAAAAGCATCTCGCGTTCGGAACATGCGCAAAGACGATTGAAAGGGAGACACTTCTTGATGAAGCGAAGGTTAAATATGCTGCAAGACTCGAGGAAGGTTCAAGTTCCGTGCCAACTATTCCTCTACCTCCTGAAACGTGTCCTCGTAGCAGTGGGTGTGTAACACCGCCTGAAGGCTTCGCTTTAAAACACGTAAAGAAAGCTTACTGGTTTAACGAAAAGCAACGAGAGTATCTGACTGTTAGATTTACCATCAGACAAGGAAGCGGCAAGAGGGTCTACGCGGAAATTGTTGCAACAGAAATGAGAAGAGCAAAGGGATTGAACGGGGAGCGCTTGCTCGGTGTCCCTGAGATTTTGAAAACTCAACAAGTAGCTTCATTTTTTTCCAGAATGGCAGCAAAAGTGAAACAGCAGACAGCCCCCTGCACACAAACTGTAACTGAGCAAGATCTGGTTGCTATGGAGGAAGAATTTTAATTGTCAAATGTTAAGGAGTCTATTTTTGAGCAGTTAAATGTAACTCATCCTATTCATTAGCAATAGTACAACATCTGTTCCATGGTCGAGAATAACACACTCAAAAACCTCAAACTTACAATCTTAAAACTCCTTTGCGAGAGTTTCAAACTTGCATTACCACCTGGGGTTGTTCAGAGAAAAGAAAAAAAAAACTTACATCGCTCTGCTCCAAGACCTTGTTAGATGCTGCTCTTGCAGTGCAGTTTAAAAGGCAAATGGCAAAAGGCTGCTTCAAAAATTGAGTTTTCCATGAACGTTGATATAGAACGGGGGCCGTGTAGCATATTTTGGACCGGAGGAGCTATTGTAGTTCCTGCGTAGTGTGAGCTCATTGGCACCAACTTATATATGAGGGGTCCTGGGGCCTCCCCTGGCAAATTTTAAAGTCTAGAGCTTCTGAAATCACCCGAAACACGTTTTAATCCTTAGAACAATTTGTCAATTTTTTTACCACAAAGATTAAAATAAATAATAATGATAATAATAAATTGTTCTTAGTGGGGCTACAGCCCATTCAACCCCATAACTCCTCGGTCCCCGTATTAAAGGCGCAAACCGGAAACGAAAAAGTCCCCTTCGAACCGCACTTGGCAGTCAGCCTGGAGTCAGATAGGATCAGGCCGGCTAGATATTGTTTGGTATAGACTCATAAAAGGATTTACACAAGTAATGCAAAACGATATATATAGGACTGGATGCTTTAGAATGGAGTTTTTACGAAAAAGGATCGTGTCCGCTTTACTCAGCATTTTCACCTTTGATCCAACGTGACAGCTGTCACGCAATTGAAACATTTTGCTTTTCGTCAAGACAGTTACGAGAAATGAAACAAAAGACTCATTGGCTTAAAGACGAATTAAACGCTATTAAATACTGGTCATTATTCTTGTAATTTTTATGTTGTAGCCGTCAAAAGAGCCCTTCCTAAACCAGAACCGTTAGGCAGTACGATTTCTACAACTGATTTGCATCATGCAAATTCGTGACCTCTGGCCACAGTGCGTCGCAAACCTTTATGTTTTGCCGTCACGTTTCTGAATTACCCAGATTTTTTTATTTCTTATTATTTCAGAACAAAGACCAAACTTTGTGCCAGTATGTAGTTTGACATGATGTCACACACCAAGACGCGTTTTTTGAAGGCTTGAAGTTGCTCGATTTTTCGCTTTTCATCGGCAGAAATATTGGACAAGATGGCGGCCGCGCTTGTGCATTTCGTCCATAATGGCGACCAAATAATATAAGAAACTGTATGGAAATTTGTAAAATTTCTAAAATATAACAATCAGGAGCTCATGGTCCCGTCTGCTCTCGATCGAGACATATTCAGTACTGCTATTCATCAAACCTCGCAGGGACTCGATAAATAAAAACCACTTACTTCCCGAGCCAGTTCTTTTGTCATTGATCATTGACCTAGGTCGCCATACAGTTCTTCAAAATCCGTCGTTCTCTATCCCAAAGACTCGCCAATTACAGGAAAGTGCATAAATAAAGTCAACTGCTCTCGATCGAATTGACTGCTACAGAGTTCGAAGCGTCCTAATATCCTGTAAACTTGCCATTTCCTCCCATCAAAAAACTTACCAACGCGCCAGAATATCCCTTATTTTCCATGTTAAGTAAGTGACGGGACGCCAAGTTGAAAACTATGACTGAAATAGTTAAACACGAGCAACGCTGATCTTCGAATCGTCGGCCATATTTGTTTATGCTCTTGGAGGGAAATAAATTAGTTCTCAGGTCCTTTTCGCAATAAAAATATGCCAGGCATTGAATGCAAATTCAGTAGTCTTAGCGCGAAAATTAAATTAAAGCAAATCAAAATTCTGACATCATGTCATCGCTCTGCCTCGAAAAATTCCCAAAGATTTACTTGCAGGTCTTCTTTTCTTTTTCTTTTCATCAAATAGAAGATCTGCGGTGCTCAAATTGTATAAGTCATGGTACGAAACACTCTTCTTTGCAGATCGAGCCGTGATCGCCGCCGTATTGAATTCTCGTGATATTTTATTGTTCCGGAGTGTAATACGATATACCGCTGATAATTGTTAGCGGGCTCGAAATGTCCTTGATTTCTGGCGATGTTGCAACAAGTGTTTGACAGCACTTTGTCAAAATTAAACCAAAGCTCCTTAAAATGCGACAAATAAAAATCAAATGAATTATATTTTGAAATAAAAACACCCCTTATTTCTTACGAATCATCCTCCTTCACTACTAGCACGCTAAAGTTGGTAAATTTTACTGTATTTTTTGCATAATTAATAAGCTAAAAAACCAAATTTTCGTTTTTCCCCATTTTCTCGGACACATTTGAATTTTCAAACTTTGAAATAATTTTTTTGAACATATCTCCCTAAAAGGGTTTTCCAGGCAAATTATCAGAACTTTCGATTTGTTTAGCCTGGCCAGCGATTCTCGATATTTACAGTCACGGCCTCTTCAAAACGTTTCCGTTTCATCTGAATAACAAAATAAACATGGCAATTGTCGGGAAAATCCCGACTGTCTTTCATTGTTTTTGTCTTTTCACTTTCAAAAGCATGCGCTACGAAGTCAACAACTTGGTAAGTACGAGTAGAAATGTTTAATACGGGGGTACACGGCTTTCTATATCTACAAATAAATTTGTAACAGAAGACTTTAATTTTAAGTAACTTTGCATGATTAACGTTTTAATGGAAAAGCCTCAAATAAATGCTATTTTGTCAATGTGTATGTCCTGTGCCTATCCAGTCATGTGATGTTATTCAAAAATCGCAACCATGAATAACACACGTGTTAGGATATCCAAACACGTGTGTTTGGAAAACATTAACAGCCCTCTTATCTTTGTACTGAGTACTTTTACGCTTTGAACGTTCGAGCAAAGAAACTTCCTCTTTGCAACTTTTCGGCGGTCGAAACCACTAAAAGTACTCAGTACAAAAATAAGTGGGCTGTTGATGCTTTTCAAACACATGTGTAATTGTCGGGAAAGTTCCGACTTTCCTTCATTGTTTTTGTCTTTTCACTTTCAAAAGCATCCGCCACGAGGTCATCAACTCGGTAAGTACGAGTAGAAATGTTTAATACAGGGGTACACAGCTTTCTATACTAAAAATAAATTAGTCGCAGAAAAACTTTTATTTTAAGTAACTTTGCATGAGTAGCGTATTAATGGCAAAGCTTAAAATGAATGCTGTTTTGTTAATGTATACGTCTAGCGCCTATCATGTCATGCAATGTTATGCAAATATCGCAACCGAAGTGGATGAATTTCTTTCAAAGCGACTTCGTTAAGCCTTTGTAGCTTCACATCTTACCAATCATCCTCATCGGCTATGACTGAAATGTTCGTTTTTAGCGACACTGGTATGATAAGTAAGCTCATTAATTTGTAATAAACTGCTAAAACAATCTTTTCAAACGTATTGCAGAATGTCAGGAAAGCTTCCAGAACGCTATAGTACTGAGGCGTATCCTTCTTGTTGGGCTAAGACTTTTAACGCAGCAGCACCTACAACTTGGAACTCACTGCCAGAACCCATACTAATCATGATGACATTTCAAAATTTAAGACTTCTATTAAAGGGCATGTAAACCCAAAAAACGTTCATTTTCTTTTCACATAGATGTTTAGTAAATATATCAAGTACACCAAAGGTACCATTCGTTTATTCTCAAAAGTCCAATTTCACTTTGTAAAAGCTCTTCCAAATTCGAAACATTCGCCATCTTGAATGGCGCCATCTTTCCTGTGACGTCACGGGTGGACCCTCCAAAGTCTCGTTTTATAATCGTGTGAGGCACGAAGGAGTCTTTTCTACAGCCGTTGTTTGCTGGTCTCGTCATGATTTTTTTACTTACAGTTTGCTTCAATATATTCAATTTTTTCGTAATGGTGAAGCGTTGTGTCGTCCAGTTTTGTACTGATTCAAACAAAACTGGGCATACAATGCAAATATTTCCAAATGACGCAAATTTGAAGCGACAATTTGTGAAATTTGTTCAAGTGAAAATAGCCAATTTCGTAGAGCCGTTCGAACGTTCTGTTGTTTGTAGCAGTCATTTTTCTTCCTGGTGCTGTACCGACGATTCAGGCCTCACCAGAAGCAAATTATTCGGAAGTATAAAAACGACCCATACAGTCGGCAGACGACGAGGATTCGGAAGTGGCCGACCGAACTGAGAAAGAAGTTGAGCTCTTCAAAAGTTAGAGGTCAACAGAGAAAGTACAAAATCGATTTACATGAAAACGTTTCGTTAATTAAACAACAATAGCTTTATTGGTTCTCTAAAAACATCTTTTTTCTCATCTAATGAAATATTATGGGGGAGCCAGTTGTTCGGGAGCCAGCGCTGAGCCCGTAAAAGACACTGACATGTCTGAACCTTTGCCTGAATTCGAAACACGTATCAAAGAAAGAGAATTCGTTGATATCAGTGTGTAATAACGTGATCTGGAATTTTGTCGGTTCGATACAAAGAATTCTATACAGGATCCCATAATCAACCCTTATGTTCTATAAGAAAATCCAAGCCAGCTCCACTTGGTGCTTCCTTTGAGAAACCCTGCAGAGAAACAGCAGAAGAATTTGTGTCACGGTTTTCACAGCATTGAAAATACATTCAAAGGTCAGTAGGACAATATTCATCATTTTGAGTACAACTTAAAAGATCCTGATTTCAGCTTGCAAAACTATCTTTTCAATATTTCAAATCGAAGCAAACACAAACAGGGTTGGATAATTATGAAGGCCACACAAGGAAATGTACATGATACAACTTGTTTATCGATGGAAATGCTTCTGAGATGAAGGATATTGTTTACCGCACAAGATAGCACAGCGACCCTAAAGTGTTTGCCGAGATATCCCCAACACCAACGAACAAGCTATCTGTAGGCAATTTAGCGAAATTTCCTGTCAGGAAAGAAGCGAAAAACAACTAGCTCTAGTACTGTATTATTAAATCAATGGCAGAAACAACTCAAGTAAATCGATCTCAAAATGTAACAAAACAGATGAAACAGAAAATATTTAGCTTAGTCGTTTCCGGTGTGATTATCTGTGCTTTGCTGCTGCCTGTACGCGTACTTGGCCGTCTCCAGCACCCAGAAATCGAGGCAAATTGACTGAAAACCTGGATGCTCAGTGATACAACTTATCTGGGTTTCAGGCCATTTTGCCACAATTGCCCGATTTCCGTACAACAAACACTTTCATGAGTTGTCGGCATTGGTTGACAAGTTCCACACTCGCACCTTTGATAATTTTATATAAAACACTTTCAGAAGCTCAAGTTAAAAAAAATTCTGTTACATTCCTTTAGATTGTACCCTCGCTTTATTGCATTTTCATGTTAAATACAAATAAATCACAAAGTAAATTAAATACCAGTCTGAGTTTCCGAGACGGTCGCATCGCTGTCGACATGTTCTGTACTGTCTTCGTGCGGATCGCTTCGGTGAACCCTACACGGCTCATATTGTTAAGGACGTGGCCCAGACTCTCCTGAAGATTCTGGATTATCCCCAGCGCTGTCATGTACTAAGCTTAAGGCATTCGAGTCGCTATCTTCTGAGAAAACATCTTCCGAACTACCGCTACTTACACGAACTCCCACACCAGTTCTACTGGGGAATATGTGTTGCGCAATATTTTGGTTCCACCGCTTCCACTTCTCGCTATTGTTTTTACCGGAAATGGAATTTCAGTTGAAAATGCCGATTTTCTCCTAAAATAAGTCGAATTGGACAAAACTAATTTCAAATTCGTTTTCTACGCCACTTTTTACATAGTATAAGAAAAACATGTATTTTTGGGTTTACATGCCCTTTAAGACTTTCTTGTTCAAAGAACATTTCAATCAGAGTTCTACTTGAAATATTACGATAAGAATTGTAATTTTTAATTTTAATCTTAATTTTCAGGTGTGAATTTTTAACCTGTACCTTTATTTATTTGTGTTTTATTATTATGGATGTAAATTTTGATCTACAAAATTTTTGGTCTTAAATATTCAGTTGTAAAGCGCCATGAGCCTTCGGATATGGTGCTATAGAAATCCTTATTATTATTTATTATTATTATTATTATTATTATTATTATTATTATTATTATTGTTATTATTATTATCATGGGAAGCCATACTACTTTCCCAGTCTCCAATACTGTTGAGCTGACTTTTGTTTAGAGCATCCCTAGAGGAGACACCCAACACAATACAGGGCTATACCCAAAACGGAAGTTTTAAAATTGGGAATTGTCCCGACTGCAATTCAATGTTTCTCTTTTCACTTTCAGAAGTATCAGCCACGAAGTCTCCATCTTGGTGAGTACGATTAATAATCTTTCATATCACACAGCTTTCCATCGTTCATATGACTGAGTAACTCAAGAGAAATAATGCTTTTTTGGGAAGACTCAAGCTATTTCGATCTTTATGTTTGCGCTCTGTAGTTACTTATCATTCGAATAACACGCGGCGAAAGAATCGCCAATGTAATGATATACATTTAGAGCACCTTTTTCAAACCTTTGTGGCATTATATCCTCGTTCTTCATTCCTGCACTATGTAGTTATGTCACGTTACGAAAGAAATTCGTTCGAGAACGACTTTTATACCTTTGCGGCCTTTCACCCTCAACTCTATCCTCATCAGTTAAGATTTAAAACCAACGCTCAATTTGAGGAAATGACGATCCAAAAAATAATATCAGACCTATCTAAATTATGACTGTATATCTATGATATCATAAGATATTCGTTGTGATTCATTACGTGGTTTTTCAGTAGGAAGTAACCGTCACGTTTCCCCAGATTTATATTGGTTCGACTGCGTTGTTATGGGTGTACCATGAATCCGCGTAAAATTCGTTGAAAGTTTGAAGATATTGTTCGTGCTATTCATGTTATGCCTGATTAAGGTAATATGTAAGAATTAATCGCCGAAGGCGAAGCGAATTTTGCTTAATAATCCTGGAGACGAAGTCAAGGGGATTATTGTCCTATATGCGTGCATGAATCAAGCGTGGGGTAAATATTTGTTTAAACAGAATTGCATGGTTAGCCGCGGGTGCTTTCAATTTCTTTGTGAATTCGTTTTGATTTGGAACTATTCTGTCCCAATTGTTTAGTTGAATCTTATCGAGATATTTAGCCAATCTCCCCTTGAATTGAACAAGTTTGTTTATTTCATTCAATCAGCAAAATCTTCATATTCCTCTTTTGAACAGTGATACGCCAAACTTAATGGCATCTTTTGCATTCTTCGGAATTGCATTTCCTTCGCTGCCCTGAGTGAAAAAGAGGGAGCCCAACACCTATCGGAGACTCACAGGATCCGTGTCATTCCTTCTTTGACGACACTCAGGATCATTCAAGATAGTCTAGAGGACTATCACAGCAACACTGGTGCCTTGATAATAGGCAATCCCAAGGTTGATTGGCTGCTGCCATTGCCATGTGCAAGAAAGGAAGCGGATGTGGTCGGACGACTGGTAGGTGTTCCGCCTCTTGTAGACGAGAAAGCAACGAAGCAGGCGGTACTTGAGCGGATAAGTTCAGTGAGCCTGATACATATTGCTGCCCATGGTAACGCCGAAAGGGGAGAAATTGCCCTTTCCCCTTTCCTACTCCCAACAGTCGAAACACCATCCCACCACAGGAAGCTTCCATGTTGACAATGGCCGATGTCTCACAAGTGAGAGTCAGAGCCAAACTGGTGGTACTTAGCTGCTGTCACAGTGGAAGTGGAGACATAAGAGCCGAGGTAGTTATAGGAATTGCCCGCGCGTTCTTAGGATCCGGAGCTCGCTCGGTGTTGGTTGCGCTGTGGGCCATTTCAGACTCAGCAACAGAGCAGCTGATGAATCGGTTCTACGAACACCTTGTTGAAGGAGAAAGTGCCAGTAAATCCCTTCATCAGGCTATGAAGTGGATGAGAAAAAACGGCTTGACTAACGTGTCTGAGTAGGCTTCGTTTACGCTGATTGGAGATGATGTGAGGCTCGAGTTTGACAAGCAAAGGTAAGACTCAGTCCGAAAAGATATTTCTAAATTTGAAGTTGAATTGGATGCGAAGGTGGCTATGGTTTACTGGTTCCTGTCTGTGGGCGGTGATCCTTTGTTACCTTGAGCATCAAGGCTACTATGACATCTATATCTATCTACCATCTATCTATCTATATCTATCTATCTATCTATCTATCTATCTATCTATCTATCTATCTATATATATACATATATATATATATATATATATATATATATATATATATGAATGTGGAGGTAGAGTCTACCTTAGTATTAAGTGCTTAATGCTGTGGTAGAAGAGCTAAGTATTCATAAGTTAAGGAATTAAAGAGGACGCATCGATTCTCTGTGACTGAGTTTCGCGCCTAAGCGCTCGTCAGACAGAACTTTATTTAATGAAGAACATACCTCCTTATATACAAATTAGATAAGAAGCTAATTAATTCATTGGTGTGATGATCTAATCTACATGTGAAATAAAGATTCTATAGAGCTATTGTTGGCGGCTTGTGAAATTTGCTAAGCAAAACTTATTCTCGTGGCGGCATTCAGAAATGAGTTCTGTTCTTTTGTTTAATTAAGACGGCTTCTTAGCTCTAACTAAATAAAGTTTTTCTGTGAGGCACTAGTGACACCGCTTGCTTTTGTTGCTCTAGACCGGGGCGATCGCTAAAATACTCCAGTTAATTGTAAAATTGGTGTTGTTGTTTTTGAGTGTCCAGATATGCTTTGATAGTTCCGTGCTCTTTGACTAGTTTCTGTTCCGAAAAGAAAGTTTGTGTCGCGTGTAACGTTGTTTAAAAGTTCCTTCAGTTAGTCCGAAGTAATTCTTTCCGGTTGTGTCATTTTCTGTTGTTACGTTGGCGTTGTAGACGACGCTTGAAGTGAGGCAGTTGTTTTTCAGAGGGCAGTCGTTTTTTTTTCTGCAGTTACAGTTGTTTTCTGTGGAGGGTGTCTTGCTTGTCTCGAGGATTTTCTGTTGTGCTTCTTAATTATGGTTTGTAGGTTGTCTGTGCAGCTATAACTAACTTTCATGTTGTTTTTGTTGAAAGTATTGTTGTACCTGTGGCTTTCGGAAAATGTTTACTGACGAGGTTCAGAAACTTTCTGCCGATGTTTGTTTGTACGTTCATGCTGTAGGGCGGATTAAACCAAATTATGTTTCTTTGTCTGTTCTTGCGGCTGTTCTGTACGGTGTGAGTTACAGGTTTCTTGCGATAAGTGTAGGTTAATTTTTCGTCGTTTCCACATATCATATATAATTATATATCCATATATAATTATACATATATATATATATGTAGAGTTGCTACAGACGCTCTCTGGAGAAAACATAGAATCGCGAAGCTGCCTCTCTGCCAATCAGACACAGGTGTTAGCCCTTTATATTTTTACATATTGTGCTTGGTATAATTGTATTTGTTTTGTGTCTAAAATATTAGTTGAGTTAATAATAACCGTTGTTTTTCACCTTTTGACAGAAAAAAGAGACCCCGACAGGGTGAATGATGAGAACTGCTCGAAGGGAACAGAGCTAAAAGTTTTTTAAAAGACTTTTTGAATTAATAGAAAAAAGAAGAGAAAGTACTCTATCCGGTATTTCATTAAAATTAAAAAAAGAGCTATCCCAAATTAGGGAAGATCTAGTTCAATTTTTTGTGCTTTCTTTTCCAATATTCTCAGAAAGATGCATTGGTTACGTACTCAAGAATTTATTTGTTGTTTTTTTTTTTTACATAAAAATGATATTTCTGATATAATAAGCGCAACACAATGTTCACGCACGTAAGGCTGTTAAGTAAAGAGAAATCAGTAAAGTTAAAACGGTATTCGATTCATCAACATTCATCCCCATGCTCAGTTGTAATAAGGTATGGGAAAGATGACTGATCAGCGGGCTAAGCCAAGCTGGGAAAAAAGTGTTCAAGATACGATACGACCAACGGGAATTTTTCAGGGGGGGAGGGTGGGCCGTTCACCTCTTCGTGGCTCCGCTGAAAATTGAGCTAGAATGAATCCTTTTCACGCCAAACCAGAATTTAATATCGGAAATTATGTAAATACCCGTGAGACTGCTCAACTAGCCATGATATACTCATTATTAAATGTATTTCAACTTCGCATATCATCATGAGTGTTATGAATAGTAGTTTAGGTATAAAACGAACCACTAAAATCTGGTTTGATTTTTTTTTGTAAAAACCTTTTGCAAGGTTTAGTTAGCAAAACCTTCAATTTTTTATGAATGATTTTGATGTAGCATCTTAAAGGATCCTTGTCAACCCCACGCCTCTACGGAGAAATTCGTTCATATTAACTCAACGCTTAGCAGAAATCGTGCCGGTCTGTAAACACTTTTTGGCGACGCGCTCCACATTTAATAAAAAACGTTCAGAGCTAAAAAATACGACTAAAGAAGGGGATAACGGATACCTGACGAAGTTCTGGAGAAATACAGGTCTGGGGTTGTCTGCTCCATTAGAGAAGGGTCACTTAATAAACAAAGAAAACAGCACACAGAAGAAAAGATTGCCTTTTGTCATGCAAAACCACGCGGCTTTACCGAACCTCAAGAACACACTGGTGGGAAAATGGCACCTTATTCAAAATTACACCGGAAAAAAAATCATTAAAATAAATCCCGGTCAGATCTAATCTTTGAAGACAGACGGTTTAAAATCGCTTGCGGATGGCAGGAGTGTCATGCAGGCTCGTCAGTACCCGTCAACTTTTAATTGGTCACTTGGCCTCTTGTAATATGCACCTTGGGCGAAGCTTGTCGACGCTTTGATGCAGAAAAATCTTTGCAAATTAGGCTCTCGGCAATGAAAATAAAAATGAAGGGCGTGATCGCATGAAGGTTTTTTCCGTAGATTTCTCTGGTTGGTTCACCTCAACTCGTGTTACTCATCTTTTGAGCTGATTTCTTAGAAAGAAAGATTATCGAACAATTTTCTTTTAAACTTTCATTTAGTGTTCCTCGTCAATTTCTGTTTCGAAAATACAATAAAAAAAGATCGGTTACCGTGCTTTTCTAAGAGATTAAGTGGGCCAAACGTACCACATTTATGCCTGTACTGGCACTAATCAAGCGCATCAATTCATCGGTTCACAGTGCTGGGGCTGGGAGGGCTTTTTGAGCAACTCTTGGAAAAACTTGATGGGCAGAAGTGTCGAGCATAGGGAACAAGTGGATATATAATTTGTGGCAAAATCACGCAAATTGAAATGACATCGACTCAAAACGTTCCACGAGTCTTTCCTTTCAAGGTCGTAAATTTGCATCCTGGAGTAACGGGCAGGCTCTTAACTTTATCTTTTTTTTTTCTCTTCGAAGAGTTTTTTTAAATTTCCCAATTTTAAAGGGGACAAATTGTACACCAAAATCATGCAAAAGAATTTAGGTCACTCTGCTCGTTCGAGAGCTAAAGAGTATCGTTCCTCTCTACCCGGTCCATGGATTGATAACAATACCGTGTTCTCAGAATGCACGGGTACTCATTCCCCTGACTAGGTAATTTTTACACGCAGTATGAGATGCGCAGTGCAAAACTGAGAAATCACCTTAATCACAAAATTGAGACGACAAAGGTGTGGGATTTAGAATCTAGTATCGAATTCTCGTTCCATTATCCAAAGTATTTAAGTGAGAATGATGATACCGTACTATGTCAGAAAAACAAAATTTTCCTCATCGAAATCTAGATATGACGTAAAATACCTTGATTTCAGCTTTGGAGCGAAGGACTACACAGCGTGGACATGACCAGCTACGCCAGAGGAAGACATTGCACGTAAATGAGATAAGGCCTTGCTGCTGAGTGAATTTTAACAATTAAACTGACCCGTTTAAATTTATAACGCTACTAAGTTTGCGGTTCATTTTTCAGCTTTTACATGAAACTATTTACAGAGACAACTTTAAATCAAGTTTCATTGAATACACCACGATGATGGGAGGTACCCAAGAGTAGAACCGGTGTGGCTGATTATACGTAAGCCGAAAAAAAAACGTTTTCTCAGGGAAAATTACAAATTTAGAGTTTACCTTTGAGCGATTATTCTGTTTTTTGCTTTTGCTTAGTTATCATCCTTTAGACCTTTCATATGAAAATTTAATTGCAATCTCCAACCTAAAAATCAGACCGGAATTGGAACAAAAATGTGATAGGTCCTCCTCGACTATTTAATACTCATTACATTTTAACAGAGGTGAAATAGACTACATTCGTTGATTATTATTAAGAACATTATGTAATAGAGTAGTCCGATCGTCCAGGTGAGTGGAGACCTGAGAAGAGCTGTTGTCGGTAGTGGTGACTACTGATAACAGTCCTTCTCAGGATTACACTCATCCGGACGATCAGACAACACTCTACAAGTAATGTATGGTCCCGAGGGAAACAGTTAGTTTTATTTTCCCGAGAGTCCTGATGAATTTGATCAGGGGCACGTGACCAAGAATCAGCCAATCACAGTGCTCGTTTTGTTGAGTTAAATTCTAGGTATATAACAATATCACATGTTACCCCCAGGTTCAAACCATTTATTGTATTAAGAACATTGTAACATGGCTTCTTGTCCTCTCTCTACCCATGTCACTGGGTCTTTTGCAAAGGCGCAAGTACAACTTCAGGATCTTAACCCG